GTTTTGGGCGCGCGCGGGCGCGTGTGTGCACACACACACACACACACACACACACACACAGCATGATTTTCAAGCCTCCAGGTCCAGGACTTGAACAATGGTCGGCCATGTAGGAGTTCAGTGCCTTAACCACTACACCATCAGCTAGTCCCTCAGTTTATCTTTTTAATGTTCAATCTTGTTTAAACCATTCAGTCCCCCAGGGAGTAGGTATTATTGTTCCTTTCTGTGACCCAGTTGTCACATTTGCTATGAGACATAATGGCCTTGCATTTCTTCCACTCACCCATTACCCTAGTGTCTAATGACTGTTCCACATTAGTAAGTCTTTGTTGTTGTTTTTTACTAACTAGACATACATCTGTTCATTCAGGGAGCTTGCAGGCTGCTAGAATGCTACACGGTGTGCTGGGTGTAGGGGTATGGGGGGGGGGCAATCTCCAGGCCCCCACAGTCTTGTTGGGAGACAAGTATTAAATAAAGAATTGCAAATGTGCTAACAGTTACAAAGGAGAAGTGAGGGGCAGCTGTAAGGGAGCTGCCTGAGGAAGTGAGGTCATCCCCAACCCCCTCTACTTAAAACCCAAACTCAGACTTTTTTCCCCCAAGAGGTTTTTGCCATAGGGTGTACGTGCTTGGCAGAGAGAGACAGACAGTGAGAGGGAAAATGAGAAACCATCGTCTGGCCACGTGGCAATCCATTCTCTCCCCGGGATCTTGGGCATGCACGCACACGTGCCTGGTGTGAGTTTCAAGCCATTGTGTCTAGAACTTGTACTGCGGTTGGCCATGTGGGAGTCCAGTGATATAACCGCTATGCCGTCTGCTGACACTCCTCCCACTTTAAAGTTTATTATTTTTCCCATGAGAGAGAGATACATCCCAACAGGTTCTAATCTGCAATCCACCCCCAGCCTTAGCCAGCCCAGGGCATGGGCCCGCATATACAAGCCCGTTATGTACCAGGACCTTCCCCTGTGGGTCATCGTTACCACCGCACCATCGTCTGGTCCCTAAACCTAGACTCTCTTTGCCCTTCACGGCTGACCCCCATCTATCGCCCGTGACGCTGCCCTGGCTTCCTTGATGTATCTTGACACGCTGAGCTCTTTCTTGCCTCTGATCCTTTGCACACACTGAGCCCTCTGCCTGGAAAAATCTGTCTCCCTGGCTCTCTCTCTGCATGGCTGTTCCTTCTCATTGCAGCTCAAATGTCCTTCCTTTTTTCTGTTTGTTGTTATTTGTTTTTGACTGCCAGAGGGCATGTGTACTTGCCAGAGAGAGGGAGAGAACTCCACAATGGAGCATGGTCACATCACAATCGCTTTTCCTCCATTTCTCCTTCCTCTCCAGAGCTTGAGCGTGCACACACATGTGCCCAGAGGTTTTTGCTATAGGGCATGTGAGCTCGCCAGAAAGAGAGACAGAGAATCGGAAAGTGAGAAATCACCCCCTGGGGGGGATGGTCATGCCACAATCCCTTTTCCTCCATTCTCCTCTCGGGATCCTCACGCACACACTCTCGGCGTGAGTTTAAGTCATGGGGTCCGGGACTCGAACCATGGTCGACTACGTGGGAGTTCTGTGACATAGGTATCATGCTAACTGCTGGGCCCCTAGTCTGTGTTTTTCAAGCTGCCATTATCAGGATTGGAACTGTGGTCGGCCATATGGGATCCAACTCCTTTAACCACGGTGCTGTGGGACTGGGCCTCTCAAATATCCCTTCTTTGGAGATGGCCTCTGACTGTGCCCCTAACAGCACCTTCCCCCACATACTCTATCATATTAACCACGGCTTTTTGTTTAGTTTTCATTTTCATAGCACTTAATGGCATCTAAATTCTTTTATTGATATTTGTTGGGTTAGTGTGCTTCTCCTCAATGAAGCGTGGGGTTCTATACCGGAGATATAGAAGGAACTGGCTGGTCCTGACTGTCCCTTCCTGTCCCTGTGCCTAACATGGGGCCTAGTACATCGTAGGTGCCCATAAATGTGAATGACGTCTCCTCCTTCCCCAGTGTATTAGTTTCCTGTTGCTGCTATAACAAATCACAAACAGAAACAACCCCAGGTTCCTTTCTTTCAGTTCTGGAGGTCAGAAGTCTGAAAATCAAGGTGCTAGTAGGGTTTTACCTTTTGCCTTTTCCAGTTTTGAGGGGCCGCCTGCATTCCTTGGCTCATGGCACCTTTGTCCAAAGCACATCACTCCAGCCTCTGCTTCACCCTCTCCCACTTGCTTCCCTCTTAAAATCCCTTGTGATTCCATTGGGCTCTCTCCGCTAATCCAGGAGAGCCTGTCTCATGACCCTTAATTTAATCACAGCTGTGAATTCCCCTTCGCCATGGAAGGTGGCCCAGTCATAGATTCTGTACGTGTGGGTGTGGACCTCTCTGGGGGTCTGTTATTGGGCCTACCACTGCAGGCCCCCGAGGTGACTAGTTCTGCATCCTGCCTGCCGTGGGGCCCAGCACTGAGCACTCTTTTGTGAGTTCCTAGCTCCTGTCTGTGACCTACTTTGCACAATAAGGGAAATGCAATATTTAAGGCCCTTCTGAGAGACTGCAGTCCAAAGAAGTGAAATATGGCGCAAGGCCGAGCGCCGCAGCCTCCGAGCCGCCCAGACAGGCCAGGTGGACGGCGAGCTCATCCGTGGTCTGGAGCAGGATGTCAAGGTCAGCCCGGAGGCCCTGACCCTCGCAGGGGCCCTTGTTGGGGCGGCGGACATGAGCTCAAGGGAGGCCCAGTCAGCCCTGTGGCTCACTCATAGGTATTGACAAGTCATACCACCTCCCTGGGCCTCAGTTTCCTCATATACAAAGTGGGGGGGTCCCTGGTGAAGCTGTAGGCCTTCCCCCAGGGATGCCCCAAAGTGATACTGCAGCATGAATCCTACCAACAGCAGCTACTCTTCGTGGAGTGTCAATTACACACATGCTGAGCTTGGGGTGGCCACGGCAGGGTTCCATGGAGGTTTCTTTATTAAACTGATGGCGAGTGATGAAGGCTTACAGCTGGACAGAGCCTTCAGATCTAGGCTCCAGTGTGCTTGGATGTTGTGGTTTTGGGGCAAGTCATCAGTGTTTCTGTTTCCTCATCTGTAAAATGGGTTTATCAGGAACCCCTACCTCTCAGGGTTCTATGCGAATTAAACGTAGGTAAAGTAAGCATTCAGAAATGCTAGCCATTGTTGTTACTTCTGTTTTCTGGATGAGGAATCTGTGGCTCAGAAAAAGGAAGAAATACCTGAGCAAGGTCCTGGGGCGTTGGTGTGTAGGTGACAGAGTTCCGGCTCATCAGCCCCCCAAGCCTTGTTGTTCTTTACCTCAGGAAGCAAAGGAGAGATGGGTAGGGGGCTGGAAGGTATGGCCTCCAGAAGAGAAGCCCACCTGCCCATTTGTGCAAGGCTTAGACTATGAGCAGAATGTGGTGGGGCCCCATGCCTGGCCCCTGCTCATGGGAGTCAGTACAGTGTGACGAGGGATGTAGGATCTAGGGACAGGCCCTCAGCAGTCTTCTTGCAGGGCGACTGCTGAGCAAGCCTAGGAGGGGGATGGGAGGACTGTTGGGGAATTCAGTTCCCTTGAGGGCCCAGGGGAATGAGGCTGGGTGGGGACTTGGCCAGCACCCATACCTCGAGAGCCCCCACATTGTGCCAGAAGACACTGGCAAATCCAAGCCCTACAGCCTTCCCAGTGGAATATGAAAAAATAACAAAAGTTAATTAAGGGACCAACGAGAGCTATGGCTGCAGAGGTCTGTGGAGCCGGGGAGTGCAGCCCCTCCATGCACGCTGGCCCTGGCCTTGCACGTGGAGTTGAGGTCTGCATGCTCAGGGGGAGCGATCTCTGAAAGGCTGTCCCAAGTGCACCTCTTCCCATTCTGAATAGGCTACACAAACATTCAGATTCCATCACTGAACTGGGCCCAGGCAGGGGACAGGCAGAGAGGGAAGGGTAGGTAGAGAAAAGCCTGAGAAGCTCAGATTAATCTAGGGATTTCTGGGAGGCACCCAAAAAGTCAGGCTTAAGAGATGAGGAAGGGGTGGCAGACGGGCTGGGGCTGGGAAGCAGGCTGCTGGGTTGCCATCACTGCCCAGTGGGAGGACAGAGGAGGGGAGGAGAGGAGAGGGGAAGGGAGGGCCTGTAGCAGCTGGTGTGTCTTACAGGGTGGGAGTGGCTCTCTGGAGTCTGAGCTGAGGGGCGGGCCTTTCTGTTGGGATTTGAACTGGCCAATCAGCATCAACCATGCCTCCCCGCCCCCCCCTCCTCTTCCCACCCGTGCAGCTGGAGCTGAGCTCATCCACAGGCCACTACCCTTCACCCTCACGTGCTGGGCTGTTCTGGGGCATTTTAGAAGTCTTCGGAATGCTGACCCTTTGCGTTGCCTGCCGGGCTTGATAGGCCTGGGTTTGGAGGAAGCCGGGAGATGCCTGGGCAGGATGCCTATCCAGGGGACTCTCCTGATTTGCTCCTTGGCCCATGTCCTGACTGGCCCCCATTTTTGGGGGGGCCTGTTTCCCCTTTCATTTAATGCAGAGCTTAGCCCAGCTGCATCTTCAGGGTTTCAGTGCTCCAGGTCTCACTGGGCAGGTGGGTTATTGGTGAGATTCTGAATGAAACCAGGTCTTGAATCCCGCCAGCCCTCAAGGGCAAGGAAGGGTGGGCCAGAATTCTCATCCAGCCTCCGAGGTGGATAAGAATCACCTGGATGGCTTGCTCACAGTGCAGATCCCAGGCCACCTCTGGAACTTGGGGCCCGACAGGACAGGGGGGTAAGTCCAGGGACTCAGATCTAAATTCTCACCGGAAGTGGCTCCTGTAGGAGGCCTGAGTAGTAACACACCAATAACATGTTTTCTCCCCGAGGTACAGACGTTGCTGGGGAGCAGGCTCTGGCTTTGTGTTAATTCCGGAGTGGTCTGTTCCAGCCCAGTGTCTTCACCTGTAGAATGGGGGTGACATTCCCACCCTCTGGGGATTCTTGGGAGGATGCAGCCACACAGAGCCCAGAATGCTGTTGCTCAGCCAGGAGGTACTTCTTAGCGAGAGTCCCCGTCCCCCTCCCTGAGGATTGGAGTGACAGGGACACCCTGAAGCTGGAGGCCCAGGAGCTGGGGAAGCCAGGGGCTGAACACTGCTGGTCGTGCTTGGCAGGAGCCAGGCCCAGTGCTGTAAACAGTGACCTCATGGCTGAGCGCGTTTGTTTGCGCTGTGGGGATGTGCCCTGGTTTCCGGAAGCCGCAGCTGCCTTGCCTCCCTTGGTAACTCAGCCCTTGCCTTGTGGGGAGCTGAGAGGATCAAATGAGACGGGCACGTGGGGCCTCTGAGCGCCTAACACAGTGAGGCCACTGTCGGGCTCATGACTAATGCTTTTATTGTTAAGTGACTACGCTGTGCCTTCAAGCTCCGGCCTGTACCACAGGGGCAGGTCCAGAGTGTGGCTTCGAGTCGACCCATGGGATTTCATGTCTTGGTGCCTGGCTGTGTGAGCTGGGCAGCAGAGTGGAGGCAGTACTCAAAGTGCGTCCTGAGGGGTGAAGGCCTGCGTCCAGCGTGGGGTGGCTAGTGGCTCCTGCCTCCCAGTCTGAGTTCTGCGCTCCTGCTTGTCTCCCTCGCTGGTCTCCTAGAGCCACCGGGCACTGGGGATCTGAGATCAAGGGTGCTTGTCCTCATTGGAAATCTGCAGGCTGCCCGAGGCCGGGCTTTCTTCACAGAGTAGCAGGCAGGGGTGGGAGCAATGGGGAAGGGGTTCCATGGAGGAGGGGGCAGAAGGGAACTGGGGATACCCAGACAGAGTGGGGAGGGGTGAAACCAGAGTCTTTCATCACCCTAAAAGGAATCAGGAACCCACACAGCTATGGCCCTCCCAGAAGGCTATGGTGCCAGTAGGGCATCCCCCTAAGTGCAGAGCAGGCCCACAGGACAAGAAGTTTGGGAGGGGAGCCCCTGCCCCCAGCAGCCTATGTTCTCATCCCGAGCAGGGACCCAGCACTCTCAGGACCGTGCGTGGGGTAGGCACTTGAGAAGAGCCTCCCAGTCCAGCTAGGGCAGCTGCAGTTCCCGGTAGTCAGCCCTTCACTCCATCTCCCATCTTTTTCACTTGTCGGACCCTTGGCTTCTCTGTTGAGCCAATAACCATTTATTAGACACCTAGTGTGTGCCAGACCCTGTGCTGCTGGGACATGTCGATGTGAGTGAGCCCAGACATGTCGGGTCCTTGATCTCGGTACCCCACCACCCCTCCCTCCAGTGCCTAAGCAGGGTGAACGGATGAGTGAATGGAGTGCTGACGTGCACAGGGGCTTGCTGGGTGATCCGACAGCCCACAACTGGAACTGGAACCTAAAGCGTAGGGACTGGGCATGTCTAATAGAAACCTTGTGCCTGGGCCCAGGTAGATAAAATCAGCGCACAGAGGCAAAGCAGTAATCTTGACAATGCATTAAAAATCATTGTATTTGGGACCAGCAGTTAGCGTAATGGCTATGTTGCTGGACTCGCACGTAGTCGACCACAGTTCGTGTCCCAGACCCGGTGGCTTAAACTCATGCTGGGTGTGTGTCTCAGGACCGTGCGTGGGGTAGGCACTTGAGAAGAGCCTCCCAGTCCAGCTAGGGCAGCTGCAGTTCCCGGTAGTCAGCCCTTCACTCCATCTCCCATCTTTTTCACTTGTCGGACCCTTGGCTTCTCTGTTGAGCCAATAACCATTTATTAGACACCTAGTGTGTGCCAGACCCTGTGCTGCTGGGACATGTCGATGTGAGTGAGCCCAGACATGTCGGGTCCTTGATCTCGGTACCCCACCACCCCTCCCTCCAGTGCCTAAGCAGGGTGAACGGATGAGTGAATGGAGTGCTGACGTGCACAGGGGCTTGCTGGGTGATCCGACAGCCCACAACTGGAACTGGAACCTAAAGCGTAGGGACTGGGCATGTCTAATAGAAACCTTGTGCCTGGGCCCAGGTAGATAAAATCAGCGCACAGAGGCAAAGCAGTAATCTTGACAATGCATTAAAAATCATTGTATTTGGGACCAGCAGTTAGCGTAATGGCTATGTTGCTGGACTCGCACGTAGTCGACCACAGTTCGTGTCCCAGACCCGGTGGCTTAAACTCATGCTGGGTGTGTGTGCATGCGTGCCCCAGATCCCGAGAGGAGAATGGAGGAGAAGGGATTGCAGTGTAGCCATCCTCCCTGGGGGGTGATTTCTTACTTTCTGTCTCTCTGTCTCTGTCTCTCTGGCAAGCGCACATGCCCTATAGCAAAAAATGCTCACAAAAAAATCACTATATTTTTGAGCACCTGCTATGTTCCAGCCACTGGCCCAAGCACTATGCCATTTATCCCCCTCAGCAGCCTGTGAGGAGACTAGGTCAGCCTCCTTTATTGCTGACCAAACCGAGACATCAGGTGGTTAATTATCTTGTCCTGAGTCATGTAACAGGACGTACTGGGACTGGGCTGGATCTAGTCTTTCCCTCCACACAGTCCTAGTTTGGATATTGAGGGATAGCTCACCCCACTTTATAGATGAGCAGAATTTGGTGACCCAGAGAGGCTGTTGGAGAAGCCTCTTGGGCCAGCTTCTGGCTATCCTCGGAGATCTTCAGGGACAGAGACGGGCGGTGGGTGATGAGGGAGGGGCAGTGCCCAGCTTCCTTTCTGGCTGTTGTTTTTCCTGGCCTGCCTCGCACACTGCCAAGGGGTCCGTGCCGAGCTGGGCTTGGGCCCAGGCAGAGGGCAGAGCCAGGGAGCGCCCTCTTCCCTTCCGGCGGGGAGGAGGCGCCATGGTCATTTCCGAGACTGGCAGGCACGGGGCACTGGGCTGCCTGCCCCACACAGCACTCCTGCCGGCAAAGCCCTCGTGCCCTGAGAGCAGCCTGTGCCACGCTGGCCCCTCGGCCAACCCCTTGGGGCTCCTGGCCTGGCTCGGCCCATGCTTGCTTCGCGTGACCCTGAGCAAACTATTTGTACTCTGACCGTTGGGTTTTTTGTCAGTGAAGTGGGACAGGATTGGGGTGAAGAGGAATGAGTCAGGCACGCAGCAGTATTTGAGGAATGGCGGTGCCCAGCCCACCCCTAGATGGGGTCTAGGAGCAGTTTACCAGCACGGAAGTGCCTTCTTCACCCTCACTGCCCCCTTTCCTGGTCTCCCACCCCCAGCCAGCAGGGGACAGGACAGAGGGTGTCCTCCAGGAATTAGGGTGCTGTTGGTGCAGAGTCCTACAGCTGGAGTCAGAGATTGCAGCACCATTAGCATCTTCCGGTCGGGATAACTTGGACACCTGCCCAGCCTTTGTCATTCCGGGCACGGTCTATATCCCAGACACTTGGAAAAAGGACGGAGTCCCCCTGTGACCTCCGGCACATAAAGCCCTCCCTGGGTTTCGGCTTCCTGGGCAGCAGCCACCGCTCACACGGCACTCACTGTGTGTAGGCGTGGGGCCAAGCCTTTTTGTGCTGCAGCTGATGCAGCCCTGTGCCGGCCTCATGAGGGTGCTCCTGTTGTTACCACACCCGTTTAATAGCAGAGGAGACTGAGGCACAGAGGGAAGTGACTTGCCTAGGATCGCATGCCGGTCCCTGTCAGGGATGGGATCCGGGGACTCTGGGGTGGCCCATCTTGCCCTGGGCTTCTGCTCCAGCTCACTCTTCTCCCTTTAAGGTGAGTTTTTAGCCTACCACGGGCACTCGTGAGAACTGGTGTGTGGGCCGTTCCGTGGTTAGACACGGGGAGCATGCTGGGCCTGGGCTTGGGTTTGGTTCTTCTGTTTCCTGGCTGTTGATCCTTGGTGAGTTTCCTGACCTCCTTGGGCTTCTGCTAAATGGTGGGTGGGTGGGGGGGGATGATGAGAACCGCTGCCTCTGGGACTGTGGGACTGGCAGCGGGAGCTGCTGTCCAAGCTGCCTTCCCTCAGCCCGCTCATGCCCTTCTCGCCTTGCACCCTTGCCCAGGTCTCTAAGGACATCTCCATGAGGCTGCATAAGGAGCTCGAAGTGGTAGAGAAGAAGCGGGGCTGGAGACAGAGAACGAGGAGCTCCGGCAGAGGCTCATTGAGACTGAGCTGGCGAAGCAGGTGCTGCAGACGGAGCTGGAGCGGCCAAGAGAGGTGAGGGTCTGTCCATCCCGGCAGAGCCAGACTGGGCGGGTGGGTGCACGTAAGCCCATCTAGCCAGAGTTCCCCTGAACCTGTCTCTGCTCGTGGGACTTGGGCAGATTACGCCCACGGCAGACCTTCAGCCACCTTCCTGTGGAGCATGTTGGTGTGAGGGGCCAGTGCTTCCCAGTGTGGAAGGGAGGCACTTGCTACTCAGGGAGGACCAGCTCTTCTGAGTTCACAGGCCTTTCCTTGGCAGAGATGTGCCCAGACCCTGAAGCCACTTCCTCTAACTCTTAGTTTCTTTATCTGTGACATCAGGATAATAACAGTGCCTAGACCGGGAGGTCATTTAGGATCATTAATAAGACTCAGTTATGATAGACTTCTTTGAAGAAATTAAAATAATATGGTAGGGGCTGGCAGGTGGTGTGCTGGACTCCCACATGGCCAACTGCAGTTCAAGTCCAGGACCTGGCAGCTTGCTTTCTCATTACCCCCTCCACCCCTCGCCTCACAGCTTGCTTTCTCACTTTCTCTCTCTCTCTCTTGCTCTGTCCCTCTTTGGTCAAATGAAAATAAATAAATAAGTAAACAAATAAAGTTAAATAAAATCATTCTTAAAAAAAATAAAAAATATGGTAGTTTGGCAGTTCCTTAACATGTTAAAACAGAGGGGCCAGCAAGTGGCGTGGTGATTGAAGTGCTGGAATCCCTCATGGATAACTGCCGTTCAAGTCCCAGACCTGGTAGCGTGCTTTTCCACTTTCTCTCTCTCCCTCTCTCTCTCTCTGTGTCTCTCTCTGGTAAGCATGTATATCCTATAACAAGTTAAAAAACTACTAATAATAATAAATGAAATTTTTAAAAAGTTAAAACATAGAACTACTCTACGATCCACCAATTCCTCTTGTGGGAGTTATCCAAAAGAATGGAAGGCAAGGGCTTGAGAAGAGACTTGCACACGCACGTTCACAGCAGTGGTGTAACAACAGCCGAGAGGTGGCAGGATGGGTAGACGAAGTGGAGTGGATACATACAAGGAAACATTATTCAATTCAAGAAGAAGGTACTGACGCGTGCTATAGCATAATGAACCATGAAGGCATTGTGCTAAGTGAAATAAGCCAGAACCGCCATCTCTGGGGCTGCCGTCCAAGCTACCTTCCCTCGGCCCGCTCACGTCCTTCTCTCCCTAGCCCTTTTATCCAAGAGGATAGATATTGTATGATCCCACTTCCAAGAGACAGCCTAGACGAGTCACATTCATAGAGACAGAACCTAGAGCGAGGTTAGCAGGGACTGGGAGTGTAGTGGGTACAGAGCTTCAGTTTGGGAGGAGGGAAGATTCTGGAGATGGAATGCAGTGATGGTTGTACAGTATTTGATGTCTTTGAACTGTATACCTAAAAATGGTTTAAAAAGGGGGGTGGGGACCAGCAGTTAGTGTAATGGCTATGTCACTGGACTCCCACTAGTCAACCGTGGTTCGAGCCCTGGACTCGGTGGCTTAAACTCACGCCGGGTGCGTGTGCGTGCATGCCCAGATCCTGAGAGGAGAATGGAGAAGGGAATTGCAGCGTGGCCATCCCCCCCTGGGGGGTGATTTTTCACTTTCTGTCTCTCTCTGTCTGGCGAGCACACGCGCCCTATAGCAAAAACCTCTCAGAAAAGGGGGGGGTGTGAAAGTATAAACCTTATGTTTTGTGTATTTTGCCACAATAAAAAAAGATGAAAATTTTCAACTTAATATTATGCATCCTTTGCCACATTAAATAATGAAGAAGGTCAATCTGTATGTACTGATATGGGAGGATCTCTAAGATGTGTTATTAAGCAAGAAAAAAAAGTTTAGCATTATGCATGTCACATGATCTTACTATTTTGAAAGGCCATGCAAGCCAAACGAGTTTCAAAGCATGTGTACATGTGTGCAAATGCATAGCAAACATCTGGAGGAAGACCTGCTGGTCTGAGAAGTTAGACATGGGGTAGTAGGTGGAGGGCAGTGGTACAGCGGAAACACACCACACTGCTAAGTTGACCCACATGGAAAAGTTCTGAGTTCACATCCAGAGACCTTCCTGAATATGCCAGGTACCTGTGCCCATGATCTGGGGCTGGCTAAAACTGGAGGCTGGTCTTGGGTAAGTGTCCGGAGTGCTTGTCTCTCTGTGTCTTTCTTTCTTTTTTGGAGAGGTTTTTGTTTTTTTTTTTGTTTTTTTTGTTTTTTGCTATACTGCATGTGTGGTCGCCAGAGAGAGAGAGAGACCATTAGGCCATACTACAATCCCTTCTCCTCCATTCTCCTTCTGGGATTTTGGACATGCACACACACACGCCTAGAGTGAGTTTCAAGCTCACTTGAACTACGATCAGCCATGGGGAAGTCCAGGACCTTAACCACTATGCAACCTGCTGGCCCCTCTTTTTCTTTTTTCTTTGTTGTTGTTGTTTTTTAATTTCTTAATTTGCTAGAGGATCTATGTTGTGCTTACCTGGAAGAGAGAGAGGAAAAGTAAGAAAGCACCCCCTACAGGATGGCCATGCCACAGTCCCTTCTCTTCCATTTCCTCTTTCAGGATTTTGGGCACATATGCACATGTGCCCAGCATATTTTTGAAGCTACTGGTTGGGACTGCTGGATTGTCCATGTGGGATCCAGCCACCCATGTCACTGGCTGGCCCTATTTATTTATTTTTAAAAATTTATTTACTATTATTTTTTAAGAGGTTTTTGCTATAGGGTATGTGCGCTTGCCAGACAGGGAGAGTCAGAGAGACAGAAAGCGAGAAATCACCCCCCAGGGGGGTTGGCCGTGCCGCAACCCCTTCTCCTTCATTCTCCTCTCGGGATCTTGGGCATGCATGCACATGCGTCTGGCATGAGTTTAAGCCACCAGGTCTGGGACTCGAACTGTGGTCAACTACATGGGAGTCCAGCGACATAGCCATTATGCTAACTGCTGGTCCCTGTTTTTTTAAATTTATGACATTTGAAATGAGCCAAGCATGTGAGGAGTTGTTCGTGGTGCCTGACACAGAGTAGGTGCTCAGGAAACCCTGCTTCACTTCCTCTTCCCCGTAGTGTCTCAGGATCCTGGGCAGGAGGTGGGAGCCCATGTTTATTTGTTGTTTGTCTCTCTCTCCTCCCTCTCCTTCCTGACATGGTTTCCATGGAGACGAGGGTCCCTTAGCAATTCTTTGCCAGAGCTGCAGTCCCATCACTGAGATCTGCCTCTGCCATCCTGACAGGTTGCTGAGGCGATGCTATCACCCGGCTGGGAACAGGAGCCCCTGGCCGGAGCTGACGTGGTTGCCATGGAGACAGCTCTAAGCTAGAGAGAAGGGAGGGTGGCATGCCCCAGCCATGCTTCACGGTGGCACCGTTGCTCAGCTGGGCTGCAGCTCAAGAATCGTAACACCAGCCACCCCCGCGTCCAGTATTAGTCCTCCTTCTCGTATTTTAGGCAGAAAGCCAGTATCAGTGTGGACGTGATTTACTGGAATATAGCGGCTCTGGCTGGGTGCTCACTCTGTACCACGCATGGCACATGCCTCGTCACATTGTCTAACCCCCTACAGCCTCCCCACATACGTGGGATGGTTGTCCCCACTTTATAGGTGCTACTCTCATCTGGGCAATATTTTTTAAAAGAATTATTTACTTAATTTTCTTTATGATTATTGTTTAATTTGACCAGAAAAAGACAGAGAGAGGGAGAAAGAGGGAAGTGAGAGAGCAAGCCACCAAGTCCAGGCCTCGAACAGTTGTTGGCCACGTGAGAGTCTAGCGCCTTAACCACCGTGCCACCTGTCAGCCCCCATCTTGGCAATTTAACTCATAGCATACAATTCACTGTTTTAAAGTATAAAATCAGTGATATTTAAATAATATTCATGTTGTGTAGTCATCATCATGATCTAATTCGCAAATATTTCCACTGCTCTAGAAAGTAACCCCATACCTGTTACTACTCACTCCCTACTCCTCCTTTCCTCCAGCCCCTGGCGACAGCTCATTACTTTAATTACTTTCTGTCTCTGTGGCTTTGACTATTATGGAAATTTTGTTCAAATGGAATCGTGCAATAAGTCGCTCTTGGGTGACTGACTTCTTTCACTTACCATGTTTGTGTTGAAGGTCTATCCACGTTGTGGCGTGTGCTCCTTGTTGTGGCATGCGCGAGGACTTCATTCCTCATCCATCTGCTAGAATAATAATCCATCATACAGCTGTGGATGCTGTCCGATCTGTTCAGCAGTTGCTGGGCATTTGGGTTGTTTCTGCTTTCCTGCTTACACCAGTGCTATTGCGGTGCCTCCTGGACAGGCCGCTGTGGTTGTTTTCGGTTTGGAGACTGGGGAGAGACCTGGATGGGATTCCCTCCCAAGACTCTGCCTGTTGTGACCCCCCTGGCTTCCTTGCCTCACCACCCAGGGGCTTCCTTGGGACCCTGATTGTTTTTCGAGCCTCTGAAGAGGGGGCTTACTCCAGTGAGTACTTCCCTTTCGGGCACAGGCTTCTCATCTGGATTTCCCACCTCTTGGGGTAGGAAGGGCATGGACTACTGAGTTCTAATCCCAGTTCTGCCATTGTGCAATGCCATCTAGCTCTGGTCTGGGTGATGAAGGGAAAGCTCAAACTTGGAGTCACAGAGCCTGGGTTCGAATCCTGGCTTTGCAGCTTCCCTGGTAGTGACTGTAAACCTGGGTACATCATGTAACTGCTCCAGTGCACAATTTTTTTATAAAATGGAAATGTCAATCCCTACCTCTTAGAGGTATTTGTGAGAATTAAATGAAACAAGCAGGTGAAGTGCTTAGCATAGAATAAAGCTTGTTAAATATTATTGTCGTTACCATCACAACCACCTTGCAGGCTGTGGGTCTGGAGAAGCATTTGCTTAGTTAAATAAATACGGCTCTGCTGCCTCTTGTGAGGAGCTCCCTGTAGAGAACTGCCAGTTGCCCGGGAAAGGAGCAGCCTGCAGTTGGTACCGTCTGTCCTG